ACAACTGGTTGAAACACTACAACGTAATTATGAAACAATACCATTTAAATTAATAAAATGTACTCAGAAATTAGAAAATATCACTACATTAGAGGACCAACTAGATATTACCAAACAATATCACACTACTATGCATACAGGAATAAATGAAACGTATAAAAAACTAAGAAGAAAATTTTACTGGCCAAAAATCTAGCAGAAAAATTAAGAATTTTACGAGAAAATGATCCAGAGAGCACTCTTGAGGATAATGTACAAACTGCAGTATATATGTACAATAATAGCATTCACTCTTCAACCGATTTTACACCTTTTGAAATTTTATACGGACCTTTTAAAGAAATTGATCCACTAAGAACCTCTTTACAAAAACCTTCAATGCATGAATATGTTCAAAATAGACGAAAAGAATTAATAAAATTTTACGAGCAATTATTTCAAAAACAAAAAGAGAGAGCACAGAAACGCCTCAATTACGTTAATAGAAACAGAAATGATGCCAATGTCGAAATAACACAGGAAAGAGTATTTGTAAGGACTCAACCACAGCGAAAATCAACAAATAAGTATCAACCTGCCACATTTGGAAATAAAAATGACAAAAACATACTTAACATCACCCCAGAGAAAAATAAGAAATCTACCAACCGTCATTTATCTCAAATGAGAAGACTAAGAAAAGAAATTTCTTTACAGGATCAGTTGGAAGCCTCTTCCAGCCGAGAACCTCAGGATCCAGGAAATTAACACTACCGCTGGATATTTAAAAGAAGAGTTAGGACCTGCATACATATTTAATCACTATCACACAATATATTTCGCTGTCAATCACTCTTCATTGTATTCGTCATATTTAAAACTATTAAATGCTGCTACTCTTATCAAATATAAAATTGGAGAAAGTAAAAGAAATGGTCCAGCACTTCCATTATTAGAAAGACGTCTCGCATTCTTTGAACAACAATACGCAAAAATTAATCATTTCATTACTAAAAGAGGATTACTAAACTTCTTGGGAACTGGAATTAAATTCATAACAGGCAATCCGGATAATGATGATTTAGAACAAATACATTAGAATATAAGAGCTCTTGAAGAAAAACAAAGTGAAATTGTGCGAGTGCAAAATAGGTACTCATCAATTTCGAATGAAATAACAAATAAATTAAATAAAAATATACAACAGATTCAACAATACATAAACAATGCTACAGTGTTCATGACAAACAAAACAAAGGATGTTGTAGAAAATGAAGAAATACAATTTTACATTCTTTTAACACAGAAAATAGTAGATAAAATTCTATTGATAGAAAGAGCAATTACACTAGCTAAGCAAAATATATTAAACCTTGAAATTTTACCTCAGGAAAATTACCAGTCCTTATCACAACAACTTTTACAAATATTTCCAATTAAATCTGTTATATACCTGAAAAATTCTCTTTATGAAGTAATACCACTTCTAAATGTAAGGATTGTTAGTACTAAACAATCTATTATTTTCCTAATAAGGTTTCCAATTTTTCACGAAACCCCCGAAATATTATTTAAAATACACGTTATTCCTAATGCACAGGAAATCTTCTTATTACCTCCCGCATCTTACGTCACCTCAAATTTTGTTTGGACAGACTCACCATTCCAAATAAAAAATTTATCATTTATTATAAATTTCCATAATTCACGCTGCCGACTGAACGACCAGTGTGAATACGTCAAAAATATCCAAGAAGCAACTCTGGTAGAAGAAATGGAAAATGGAGGACTAATTCTACATGCTGGAAAACCAACTAAAATTTTGGAACAATGTGAAAACCCAAAATTACAAGAAATGGAATTACATGGCAATTATTTAATCCAATCAGAATGCCCGGTCATTGTGGATTCGAACATGTTTTCACCAAAGAAGATACAGGAAAATTATAAGATCCACGAGGACTACCAGATCCCTACGCCCATAAAGGAAGCCAACTCCAAGAAAATAACTATCAAAACATTAAACGACTTAAATCTGCAAGAGATCAAACCAGTCGTATTAAAATATTCAACTTATTTACATTATTCATACATTACAATAATTATTGTTTCTGTTGTAGTTGTATTATTATGCCTTTTGTATNCGGCGAAGTCCAATTATACGCAGAGCGAACGAACAAAGAGTTTTCGTAACACAAAAAAGTTTATTTAATCAAAAAATACAGAACTACACACAAATAACAACAGAGATTTTAGGGGACAATAAGAAAAAGGTAAGAAGGTTTGTGTTTTTATTTTGACCTAATGAACGTGACTGCTTTGGTTTTAACAACAGATGCAATTGTAGGGATGTTGGGGGTGGCGGTACGGTCGTTACAATTCAAAGATGGTATTGACCTTAGACAACTGAAAATTTCTCCGCCTCAGGCGGCGAGCTACGAAGATAGAGCAATAGGGTGACAACGACTACTAGTACTATAAATTCTTGGAAGTTCGGATGGTCAAACTACCTGAATGGTTAGAACATCTCAAAATACAAACATAGTTGCAAGTTTCAGTACAGGCTTATTTCAGAGAATTTGATATAATAATATTTCAATACGTCGCATTTAAAGAAAATATCATTAGATAATGAATACAAATTTAACAGGTTTCAACATACCGGCCCCCTTGAACTATCGGTTCAATTATTACAATATTAACTTATAAGGTTATAAGATATGAGAATAGCTAGATGAATGAACAATTAAAATAAAGATATATAAGTAATTTCTAGGACTACTAACAAGAAGATTTCACACGTGATATATAATATTAGTTACTTTCACTGACGTGGTCACTATAATCGATTGGCAACGAACTAATCTTTTTGACACTACGTTGGAAATTTCCACGAGAGGTTTTTACCGTTACCACTCTCACAACACCATCTTCACCAGGATGAGCAGCAATGATTCTCCCAAGGGGTCATGTTCTTGATGGTACAGTTTCATCCATTAATAATACTAAGGTACCCAGTTTAATGTTGTCTGCAGCGCTTGTATGCCATTTTTTTCGGATATTTTGTTCATGCAGATATTCCCGTACCCAACGGTTCCAGAAGTGCTGCCTCATACGTTGAGCGTGTTGCTGGGGGTAAGGGCGGTGAGATCATTGGGATCAGAGGACATAGGTGTTAGGGATCTTGAGTTTAATATTGTTTCTATTGATATGACGTATGTTTGAAATGCTTCATATGTTAATAGAGTGTCTCCCACAACACGCATAAGATGATTTTTAAAAGATCTAACAGCTGCTTCCCACAGGTCACCGAAGTGCGGGGAACGCGGAGAATTAAAGTGCCAATTGATGTGATCTTGGGATAATCGATCAGATATGATGCCAAAGTTGTATTTTGAATTAATGAAGTTATACAATTCTTCTATTTCACGTTTAGCTCCCTTGAAATTTGTCTCGTTGTCTGAATATATGTCCGTGCATTTTCCTCTACGAGCGAAGAATCGTCCTAAAGCTGCCAAAAACGCTTCAGTTGTAAGATCCGTTACTACTTCCATGTGTACTGCTCTAGTAGAGAAGCAAATAAAGATTGCCACATATACCATTATCCTTCCTCGATTCCTATGACGTTTTTCCTTGATAAAAAATGGTCCGCAGAAATCGATGCCAGAATGCAGAAAAGATCTTTTGTAGGTTACGCGACTCCTTGGAAGATTCCCCATAATGTGTTTTATGGTATTTGGTTTACTGCGAAAACAAGTTACACATTTATGAATAATGTGTTTAACAGTGTTTTTACCATTTATGATCCAGAAGGATTGTCGTATGGCACTGAGGGTTGACTGAGTTCCTGCATGCAAATTTCGGACGTGCTCAGGTTGAATTATCAAGGTAGTGATATGATGCCTTTTTGGAAGTAATGCGGGGTGATGTGCATTGTATGGTAGATTTGAGTATTGAAGTCGACCTCCTACTCTTAGAATGCCTTCTGAGTCGATAAATGGATTTAGCGATTTTAAATCATTTGAAGAAGGTTTATGTGATTTAAGGTATGCTAGATCCTTTGCGAATCCCTCGTATTGTGTCAATTTACTAAAATTGACATACTAATGCGAGTAAGTGATTTTTTAAGTTCATCAGAGGTCAGATTGCCGGTGCATTTATTCTTTGCCATGGTGTTGTTAATAAATCGTAAACAGTAGGCTAATACGCGTTGTAATTTGGTTATAGAGGAATATCTAACAAGTAAAGTTGAATTTGGAACATTAGTAGAAAGTAGAGTTATTAAGCGTTGTTCTGGGATGTCGATAATTTGTAGTTTCGATTCGGGCCACTCTTATTCGGGTTTAGCAAGTCAACGTGCTCCATATTTCCAAAATGAATTATTGATAAACGCGGTTGGAGTTAATCCTCTTGAAATTAAGTCTGCTGGATTGTCTTCGGAGCACAAATGTCTCCATTGATGTTGTGATGTAAGTTGCTGAATTTGGGCTACGCTATTTGCCACAAAGGTTTTCAACTGATTAGGTGATGTGTTTATCCAGTGCAGGGCAATGGTGGAATCTGACCAAAAGATTATCCTTTCGAATTTGACATTACGCAGAGAATTTATTGTAGCTTCAAAAAGCTTTGCTAGTACCAGCGCTGCACAGAGTTCTAAACGAGGTAGAGATATGGATTTTAAGGGGGCTATACGAGATTTTGAACAAACTAAACTGATGTGATTATGACCTGTTTTAGTAGTTGATCGGATATATATGCAAGCACCATACGCGGCTTCACTTTCATCACAAAAACCATGGAGTTGAAGTGATGTATATTCATTGAAAAGAATCTTCCGATAGAGGGAGTTCATCTCTGTATGTGGTCCAGGCTGTATATATCTCCATGGGCACGGATTCATCCCAAGATGTGTTTAATTGCCACAATTTCTGCATGATTATTTTGGCACGTACTATTACTGGTCCTAATCATCCTAACGGATCGAATAATTGTGCAATTTCAGATAGAATATTCCGTTTTGTTGTGTGATTTAAGTTGCTGCCATTTTGTTCACGGACGCTATACGTGATTGAATCGTTTCGTGCATTCCAGAGAACTCCCAGGGTTTTCTTCGCATCTCCGATGTTGAGATTATGATCAGACTTGTTTGTTAGATTTGCTAGAGGTTTAATTAGACTTGGCTCGTTTGATGCCCACTGTCTAAGATGTAAACCTCCTCGCTGTGTGATGTATAGTAGTTCATCTCGTATTTGGACAATTTCTTGGTACGTCCTACCACCCGTCAAGAGATCGTCTACATAAAAATCCTGTGTTAATACAGTAGAACCAAGGGCAAAAGTTTCAATTTCATCTTTTGCTAGTTGTTGTACGGTTCTAGTCGTCAAAAAGGGAGCTGCAGATGTGCCGTAGGTCACGGTGTTTAATGTGTATGTCTTGATTGGTTGTGTTTCATCCTCTCGCCAAAGTATTTTTTGATACTTGCGATCTTCCTCAGCCACATTTACTTGGCGATACATTTTTGCAATATCGGCTGTTAAAACATAGGCGTGGGAACGAAAACGGAAAATTAAGGAAAAAAGATCATCTTGTATCGTGGGTCCTACAAGCAGAGTGTTGTTTAACGATAGTCCAGACGATGATTTTGTGGACCCATCAAAGACAACTCGAAGTTTCGTAGTTTGACTCGATTGTTTAAGAACTGTGTGGTGCGGTAGATAGTATCCTTCGGTGTTATTAGGTTTAGTTACTTCGGACATGTGTTCAAGTTGCAGGTATTCCTTCAGAAAATTTGCATATTCCACATTCAATTGTGTGTTGTTATTAAGTGTGCGCTCCAGCGAGTAGAATCGTTTTAAAGCTGTTGAATGAGATTTACCGAGATTTTCCTTGTTGGTGTTAAACGGCAACAGTGACGGGGTCTCGACGAGTGTGTTAGCGAAAATGAATTTCACTGGCATGTTCTTCTGGGGAAAGAAAAAGTGAAAGATTGCAAGTTGTGCGATTATATGTGTTAGATACCAGAGACTACCCATCCAAAGTGCGTTTTTTGCAATGTAACTGAATTATTTGCAACTGAAACCTGACCAATACAGAGAAGTTTATAAAAGAGTTCAGCTCCAATTATTGCATCGATATCACCGGGTCTGCAAAAATCAGGATCAGCTAGATTTATGTTTGATGGAATGTCGAAAAGACTCTTGCCAATTGCTTGAGATGGTTGAAGATCGCTATTGAGGAACAACAAGAAAGTTTGCTTTTATGGAATAGGAATTTATTCGAGATTTGATTGTTGCATTGACTGACGAATTTACATATGACACTGTTTGATTTATACCAACTACAGGGACTCGAATTTTGATAGTATGTAGACCTAATTTATTACACATACGCTGAGTAAGAAAATGTGATTGGGAACCAGAATCAAGAATAATTCGACAGAGTTGAGAAAGTCTTTTAGAATCGATTATGTGAATAACTGCAGTTGATAATAACACCTGAGATGGCAAATATGCGTTAAAGCTGGACGTTGACGGTTGATTTTGGGATTCTGTTTCTTTATGTAGAAGAGTGTGATGTTTGCCTTTACATTTTTTACATCTAGAAGCGGTGCATGAATTAAGCATATGGTTAGATTTTAAGCAATTAAGGCAGAGCACAGCGTTTTTAATTATTTCGTATCGTTGATTGATCGTAGCATTGACGAGTTATTCACATTCTTGCGTGAAGTGATTGCTCTTGCATAGATTACAATTTACAGATTTGTTTTGAGTTACATATGATGCAACAGGACGATGAACATGTGCTTTAGAGATGAAACGTTGTTATTGATTGTTGTTATTTGAATTGTTGCGATGCGATGTGCTGTTATTGTTATCCTGTTTTGGGGTACTTTCTAACAGTTTCCGACGGCAATGCAAAAATTCTAACAATTCGTCCACGGTGGGAAAGACGTTGTTTTGAACCCTTTCCTTCCATTTTAAACGTGTCTGTTCGTCTAATTTCGACGTAATTGCATAAACTGGAAAGGACTCTAAAAATGGTTTATTGAGAGCCTTTAGAGCACCATAGTGTTTTGTGGCGTTGTCGATTAAATCTCCTAAAGAGTTTACATTGTTTTTGGAACAGAAATTTAATTCGAATAAAGCCCTTACTCTATTGTTGATGATAGTAACTGGATCGTCGTAGTATTTTTCTAGAATTGACCAGGCTACACTATAATTTGCTGCTGTTGTTTCCAACGATTCAATTTTTTCTGCCGCTTTTTCTATTAGACAAGATCTAAGATACATGAGTTTTTGTGCGTTGCGAAAGTTAGGGTTATCGTNAATCATCAAAGAAACTTATCTGCAATTGAAAAAGAACTTATTGCTATAACACAGGCGTGCAAACATTTTCGACCATATTTACTAGGAAAAAGATTCACAATTGAAACTGACCATCAACCTTTGGTATGGTTAATG